GGCGCCCACAGCTCGCTCCACCTTCGCGCGTAGCCGGGCAGAGTGGTCTGCCTACCGTGTCAACCAGCTCGTGGGAGGGGAGACCTTGGGGAACCCGAAGGCGTCTGCGGGAACCGGGCAGCTTCCTGGGAATCGCATGCAGACCTTAAAACTGGGGTAGGGGGCGCTAGGGAACCCCTCCTACTTCCCTCTTACCCAGATCTCTGCAGTTCTAAGGACCTCAGGCCCCCTTCCTGTCACTAAAAACAGGTTCTTGGAGCTGACACTGAAAGTTGGGGTAGTTGGAGAAAATGGTTAGGGTCTGGAAAGCCATTAGGGAGGCCGGAAGCCTAAACATTCCACAGCTTGTGGGTCGAAGCACTGTCCTGCACCCTTTTCCACCTTTTCAGCCAGCTTCAGTTTCCCACTGTAGGGTGAGTGGGCTATTGTCTGGCTAATAAATCAGGGCTCATAGCCAGGCCATGCATGCATTCACCACTCTTTGAGTACTGCTTTCTGGGGAGTTACAGATTCTGCTACTGGGATATAAGTGGCTAACATGGTAAGATCTGGGTATGCATACTGGGAGCACATAATTGCCATCCAGGTCAAAGCCTCATCTTCTCCAAAGCTAGGTCTGGAATGCTGGCCCTTCCAAGGAATGGGTTATGGTTGAATAGAAAGCTGGCCCGACTGATCTCCCATGTGGTAAACAGGCTGACTCCTGTCCTCTACCCCTCCCATTAATCAGATGCTACTAGCGCTTTCTAGCCCTTTGTCCCCGATCCTCACCCCTTGGCTGTCCTGTTTCCTGACTCCTGTAGCACCTCATGTTTTGAAGTATGTCAGGCATACTCAGGAATGGTTTGATGACTTTTAAAAGATCCCTGGATTTCTGAGCCTGGCTCCTGGTCTCACCAATCCAGTATGGCAGACACGGAACTCTAGGGATACCAAATTCTTCATCCTCTCAGCCTCTTACCAGAGACACTCTCAGCCTCTCTCAAGCCTCCAGTCTTTTCCCCAGAACACTTGCTTGTTTCAGAGCCCTGGATGCTCTTGTAAATGCCTCACCCCATCCCTAGCTCTTTTTTTTTCTTTTTATGTGCATTGGTGTTTTGTTTGCATGTATGTCTGTGGAAGGTTTCAGATCCCCTGGAACTGGAGTTACAGACAGCTGTGAACTGCCCTATGGGAATTGAACCCAGGTCCCCTGAAAGAGCAGCTAGTGATCCTAACCACTGAGCCATCTCTCTAGCTTCCCTCCCCAGTTCTTTTGATTATCTGACTGGGTACTTTGTCCTTAACCTTGTAAAGTATTACTTCTACCCAGGCACCCGTTTGTGGTCAGAAGTTGATCCTCTCTGGAACTCTCAAAACTGGTAACCCTAGGTCTCAGGCTATCTCTGAAGTCACCCCTTCAGCAAGACATTCTTCAAGTACCTTCTCCACAGATAGCCTCCCCTCTCTCCACTCTGTCAAGCTTCTGACTAACTCCTTTCATGCCTTGTATCAGCACCAGGTAGCAATCAAGTCATGTGCACTTTGGGGCCCTGTGAGATTAAGGGACCCGACTGTGGTCTGTAAGCATTGTGGGGGCAGAGATCTCAGAAGTGCTTCTCACCATTGTCCTGGCCTATAGTGGGAGTTGAAGGACTATTTATTGAATGAGTAAGTGAATGAGCAAGTGTCAGTATCCGGCTCTACTGTCCTTCCCTTCCCTCCCTTCTTGTCTTCTTCATTATTTCTATACACTAGGTGGGTGCTCTCCTACTGAGCTACTATGTCTTTGGTCCACTGAGACAAGGTCTTGCTACAAAGGCTAGGCTAGTCTCAAATTCACACTATCCCTACTTCTGCCTCCAAAATCTGGAATTGAGGGTATGTGCCACGATACCTGGTTCCTAGTCCTCCAGTTTGTACCCACTTAACACTTTTTTAAATTCATTCTCTCCTCTCCTCTCCTCTCTTCCTGTTACTAGTGTTTGGTAAATCCATCAATGAGTATTCACTGAGCACCGAGAGCTAGGCAGCATGATGGTTGCTGGAGTGACAGTGACATAGAGCTGTCCCTGTGTTGTCAATTGACTAATCAAGGCACTTTCTGAGAAACTCTTACTTTGTTTTTTGTTCTTTGGGTTTTTTTGTTTGTTTGTTTTTGTTTTTGAGACAGGGTTTCTTTGTGTAGCCTTGGCTGTCCAGGAACTAACTCTGTAGACCAGGCTGGCCTCAAACTCACAGAGATCCTCCTGCGTCTGCCTCCCAAGTGCTGGGATTAAAGGCGTGTGCCACCAACGCCCAGCCCCAAGCAATCTTTTAAACTATTAATCCAGTCATAGGTTCTCCTACCTAAGGGGTTTCAATGGATCCTCATTGCCATCTAGACTGTGATAGGGCCTTAGAGAAATCTGGCCCAAGACAGCCACTCTTCTTTATCTCTCATCTACTCCGCACCACATCTGTACTTCTACTAGACCAGTTTGCCTGGAGTTCCCATCCTCTGACCGTGACTCTTCTCCTAATCTGTCTTCTGTTTGGTGTGCTTTATCCCCCACCACATCCTCTTGGAAAACAAATCAAATGCCACCCCTAACTGTGCCCTCTGGTTTCCCAGTTATTCTATCTGGGCATCCATCCCTGTGTACTGTTCTTGTCTATAGCCAGACCTATGACAAGGAGCAATTGGACTGCAGTGATAAGATGGTACCCTCTGAGTTTACTGGGCCCTTCCCCCTTTCCAAGAGGCATTGAAGGAAGGGGACATCTGAGGGCCATGGAATGCTAGAGAACTTCCAGGCCTCTCCCCAACCACTAGCAAGCAGGCCTTGGACAGATAGAGCAGAAACTCACTTCACAGAGGAGACACCTGAGGCTAAGAGAAGGCAACCACTTTCCAGGTCATGTGGTTAGGAAGGGCTAGGTCTGAGTTCCAAACTGGCTCCCAGAACCATAGTCAGTTTTTCTCTTTCCTGATTCAGGCACCCTGAGCACATCTTTTGCCAGGCATTGACTTTCAAGTTGAAGAAACATGGGCACTTCTAACCTGGAAGAGCTCACATTCATGGAGGAATAGACTCAGGCCTGAGAAAAATCCCCTTAGCAAAATCAGAGGGTGGTAAGGGCCCTAATGCATGGTGCGGACTGCTCCATTTGGGAAATTGTGCATTCGGGTTTTAAAAAACCAAACCAAACAAACAAAACCAGAGGCTTCCTTCCTTTTCCCCCACAGGTTACAATTTTTTTCAAGATTTGTGTATTGTGTATAGTGTTCTGCCTGCAGAGATGAATGCAGGCCAGAAGAGGGCACCAGATCTCATTACAGATGGTTGGGAGCCATCATGTGGTTGCTGGGAATTGAACTCAGGACCTCTGGAAGAGCAGTCAGTGCTCTTAACTGCTGGGCCCCCCCCCCAACCCTTTTTTTTTTTTTTTATACAGTCTTTTGCCTGCATGCCCGCAGAGGGCACCAGATCTCATTCAAGGTGGTTGTGAGCCACCACGTGGTTGCTGGGAATTGAACTCAGGACCTCTGGAAGAGCAGTCAGTGCTCTTAACTGCTGAGCCATCTCTCCAGCCCCCTCTGCAACTCTTTGAGACACAACTTCCCCTTTGCTTTCTGGGAAGAGATAAAATAGAAACCTCCCCACTACCATGTTTTGACGATGTCATTTATTAATTGGCCAGATATTTACCAAGCTCTCAGGAAAACATTTAAGAACATAATCACTCACCTTCCAGGGACCAAAGTTAAGGTCACTACCATCCTTGTCCCTGGGGGCTCAGGATCAAAACAGGTTTTGTTCTGATCTCTTGAGTTTTTGCATCTTCTGGGTCATCAAAACTAAAAATGTGTGTGTGTGTGTGTGTGTGTGTGTGTGTGAGAGAGAGAGAGAGAGAGAGAGAGAGAGAGAGAGAGAGAGAGAGTATTGTGTGTGCTGGTAAGTGGAAATAGTTAGGAAGGGTCCTTAGTGTGACATGTTGGAGGTTCTTGGCAGATAGAGAGCAGGCCTTTGAGGTTCCTGTGAGATAGGATGGCAGCAGAGCTTAAGGCAAGAAA